TATGAATGATAACAGATGTAAGATTAGACTTTCTATTCGTTTATTTCTTTGGTGCATAAAAACAGTGGGTTCTTACGAACTTGATCCCCAGCCAGGGATCACACTGATCTTTGAGATATAGGCCAGTGTTTCTCAACCTTGGCAACTTGAAGATGTCCGGACTTCAACTCCCAGAATTCCCCAGCCAGCGAATGCTGGCTGGGGGATTCTGGGAGTTGAAGTCCACAGGGCTTCAAGTTGTCAAGGTTGAGAAACACTGGCCTATATCTCAAAGATCAGTGTGATCCCTGGCTGGGGATCAAGTTCGTAAGAACCCACTGTTTTTATGCACCAAAGAAATAAACGAATAGAAAGTCTAATCTTACATCTGTTATCATTCATATTCATCATTCCGGAATGTCTCTTCTGAAAAAAATAAAGAATGATGAAAGGGTTTTGCCCACATATTTGGCAGCAATCCCCAAGTCTTATACTCGGAATTCTGTAAGGTTAAAATATTTAAATTTGTGTGAAAAGGAAGCACGAAACTAGAAGGAAGGAGTCACAGTTTGGAATGTATGCATCTGTTTATAACATCACCTTGCTAAATTGTTCAATTGATGTAGAAATATCATTTAATTAAATGGTAGGTCAATGTTGTTTCCACCACAATCTGTCAAATATTTAGTTAATTAAAAACAAATAATCGCAAAAACCCCCAACCCTGTGCCTACTGCTCAGGGAAATGCAGGCTTCGCATGGAATGCTGCATTTACATACTTTTTCCATCTCTGCACCAGTAATGGTTATCCTGATAGGTAACAATGTGATCGTATTGATTACAATATAATATTGCACACAATAAGTATATTCACCCGATGAACTGATCATCTTTACTTTTCCTCAATTCCCACAATGAAATACCAGAAAAAAATAAATCAAATTCTTTTTTCCAACCATGTGAGGCCTAGGGAGAAATTTGTATTGTATTTATTTGTATTTATTATATTTATATGCCACCCTTTTCCCCCGAAGGGGACTCAGGGTGGCTCACAACTCAAATCAGGGAAGACGGGTACAGACAAAAAATAAAAATTATGTATAGTTTTTTTAAAACTATGTAGATATTTGATTGTTTTATGACTTCAGAAGGTCAAAGTGGGATACTTGGAACTTCCTGTTATTATTGTTTGCTCACAATAACAATATTTCGTGAGGTAAATAGATCTGAGTATCTATGGCTGAAGATAGATCTGAACCTGAATATCTCTGGTCCTACCCACGATCTAAACTACTACACCACACTGTCCCTCAGAGATCTAAAACTAGACCTAAACGCTCTAGTAACCAAGGCAGGGTAATTGAGACCTAATATTCCTTCCTATTTTCCCCACAACAACAACTCACCTGTGACATGGGTTGGGGTGAGAGAGAATGGCTGGTCCAAAGCTACCAGTTGACTTTCATGCCTATTGCCTCACAGTCTAAAAGTTTCCAACACATTAACCCCATGAGGGCGAACCTATGGCACAGCTGCCACAAGGGGCACGCAGAGCCATTTATCAGGGTACGCGAGGCGTTGCACTGTCAGCTGGCCAGCATGCATGCACCCGCTGGCCAGCTGACTTCGGCCTTCTTTTGAGGCCATTTTTCACCCTCCAGAGTGCAAAAAACCAGCCCTATGGGCAAACCAGAAGTTCAGGAACATACTTTAGCCCTCTGGAGCCTTCAGGAGCCATCAAGAGGGTTCTCTGAAGGCTCCGGAGGGCAAAAAATGACTCTACTGAAGGTCCCTGAAGGTTCTGGAGGGCTAAAACCTGCCCTGAAACCAACCTTCCTGAACTTCCAATTTGCCTGTAGCGCCAGTTTTTCATGCTCCAGGAGCTTCCCTGAAGCCTCCAGAGGGCCTCGGCGGGGGGGGGGGGTAGACTGTTTTCACCCTCCCCAGGCTCCTATAAAACCTCTGGAGCCTGGGGAGGGCAAGAAAAGCATGCCAAAAATGGGGGGGGACCACTGATCGTGCGTGCATGCGTGCTGGTGTCGTGCACATAGCATTATGGGTATGGCACGCTCGCACGCAACCCCACTGCACTCCCCCCGTTTTTGGCACGCTAGCCAAAAAAAGTTCGCCATCACTGCCTTAACCACTACATCAAACTCTCTCTGGACTTCAAACTAGATAAAATTACAGCAACGGAGAATTGGCTGAAGAGGTCCAGGCTTGTTGAAGCGTAACCAAACTCAAATCTCCCATAAACATGGAGATTGGTACCTGCCTTAGTAGATTCATCCTTTCGTATGATCGCATTAACATTTACACTAGTATTATTTAGGATTATTAGAATTCGTATTATTTACCGTAGTTACAGTGGCAATGACTGTACTGTTGATATGCCCCGAAAGACCAAGTCAGGATTGCATTTGCCATGGAAAAGATCTGCCTGCATCATAGTTCAGAATCAACGATGATCCGATGGCACATCATTAATTATTTAAAACTATGGATTTGATTTACATAATTAGGTATGGATATGAAGCATGTAGATTTCTTTATTTACATATTTTTGAAAAGGATCCGTAACCTGCACTCATAAAAAAAAATCACACATAATCCTACACATTCATGTTTCCAAATCTAGAATAAGATTAAAACAGAGTTTTATTATTTCATTGCCTAGCATGGAAGAACTGTGAATGATTTGTTTCCATAGAACCAATATTATATTTGAAAGGCATTTTAATAGACTCAAACTTGGCCAAATTACATTACAAGCAGAATATGTTTTCAAAACAAGAGATTTTTTTTTTAAAAAATAAGTGTTTTGGAACAGCAAAATTAATTGTGTAATGATAATAAACCCTTCTGTGTAGAACACTTAACTCAAAATTTGGGAACATCATCATCAAGCAAGCAAGTGTGTGTGTGTGCGCGCGCAAACACACACACAAACACACAAACACACACCACACACCACACACCACACATACACTGGTTCAGACCCCTGTCCATATTTGATGTGCACCTCTAATTTATATAATTATTTTTGAAAAAAATGAAACATCATTACAACAGGATTGATTTTCATACCATTGCCTTTTATTCATCTCCGTGAAATCTAATAGTAATCCCCCAACACCTCCAATTATTTATTTTTCAAGCTATAATGTGAAACTATATACCACTAAAATATGCCTGATGATTTAATTACATCTACATTTTTAAGTAGTGAAGCTAATATTATTTGCACTAATGTGTGAATTAGGATGAATACTTTTCAGCATTTTTCAAAATTTATAATTTGATCCTTTTCTGTAAAAAAAAAAAAAGACAGACAAAACATATCTTTTTGAGTTAAAGTACATATAAAACTGTGCCAGATTTTAGGGCTTAAGTTATTCCAATGAGTAGGAAATAACCATATTTTACTAACCAATGCTGATGAAGTAATGAAGTCGTAAATTGTTTCCTAGTTGAAGAAAGGGACTGTATATGAGTAAACCCAATTGTAATTACTTAAGTATGCAAAATGCAAGATAGAATCATGTTGCTGAATTAACCACTGATGGGCAAAACTCGTATGCCTTCTAGATGGAGTAGGACACTGGAACATTAGTTACATAATTTGGGTGTTTATCAAATGTTTACATTCAAAAGTTCCCTAAATTGCTTAATCCCATTGCTTTAATAATTATTGCCAGAAACATTATTAAACTAGCAGAAGAAAATGTTCGTAACTCAGGGATGAAACATGGAATCCTTGGTCACCTCTGAGCTTGTTGCAGATGTTTCATTACCTAATTAGATAACTTGTGCTAGAAGAGTTTGTTCTCTTTTTATATACTAACGCAGTGGCCCTTTTGGGTGCCAGGGACTGGTTCCATGGAGAGCACTTTTTCCATGGACTGGAGAAGCATGGTTTCGTGGGATACCTACATCTTGCACATGCACACAGGGGCCTTCACTCAACTTCATGGCCTGGTTCCTGGTGGGCCGGAGACTGGTGCCAATCCACGGCCTGAGGGTGGAGAGCTTGCCCTGTCAGTGTTGTTGGTCAGAGGCATCAAACTGGTAACCCCCACGCCAGATGCAACAAACACAGGCCATTCCCAAACTAGCTTCATGAAGGGGAAAATGTCACAATATGTAATGTGATGGCAACGTGACACTGTGAGTAGGACACCTGTGTTCTTGATGGCTCCTTGACTAGTAATCCTGAAACCAATTTAGCTTGTGATGCTAACTTGGTAATTTAACAATTGGTAATTTAGCCCATGGTAGCAAAGTGAACTATCTTTGTAGACAGAACAACTTCACTCTCTCCTATGTTTTGCTTCTTTTCTGGACAAGAAATGATAGCAATAGCAATAGCAGTTCGACTCATATACCGCTTCATAGGGCTTTCAGCCCTCTCTAAGCGGTTTACAGAGTCAGCATA